TTGGTAATCCTGTCTTGTCTTTATAGCAGTAAATATGTTGTAAACTACTAACCTGAGATAAATTAATAAACATAATCAATAAACAAAAAGGTTAAAATAAACAAAAACAGAACAAAGCCTATGCCATTTGGGTCTCATTCCAGTCCAAGGGCAGAACAATGCAAGAATTATGTCTCTCGAGTTACCTAACTTCATATACATTTATTTATTTCACGATCCGATTCCCCAAGGGGCCTCTGTCTATTCAGATACTGGGCATTTGTACCAAAGCATCCTAAACTTATTCCATAATGAGTATGGTACCCATTGAACAGGTCGATACAGAAGGGTCCTGGGTGAACCACATAAGACCCTCCCCTTCCCCTAAAGAATGTTGTCCTCCATATCATTCCAAGCTTTCCATATTTTCTCGTAGGTTGATAAGGTGTTGTTTAACCTAGCAGTGAGATGTTCCATATTCCGCACCTCTTTGATCCTCCGGTACAGGTCTAACTGGGAGGGGGGAGATATACGTTCCCAATTTAAAGCTATGAGACAGCGGGTTGCTGTCAAAACATGGGAAGTAATCTATTAATCGCATTTATTGAGGTGCGGAAATGGAAGGCTCAGCAAGTAGTGAATAGGGGTTAGAGGGAGACGCATCTGTAGCACTCTTTCCAGGATAGTCTGTACCATTCTCCAGTAGGGTTTTATCCGGGGGCATGTCCAAAATATGTGGAAAAGGGATCCACTCTCTGCATCTCCAGCACATTGGTGACCCTGTCCTGAAAATAGAATATAAAACCTGCGGGGTATGGTACCATTGAAATAGTATCTAATATTGATTCTCCTTGTAGATTGAGCATATGGACGATTTAGCTGCTGTCCTTCAAATCAACTCCCATTGTGCTTTGGTTATGGGAGCACCCAGTGTTTTTTCCCATTTTACCATATACAGGTGGTTAACAAATTGCTCGGGTTGGGGAACCAGCAACATTTGATAGAGAGCTGAAAGGAGGAGGGGATACATCTCCCTTAGAGGAGGGAGATGTAATACAAATCGATTCAAAGGGGGTTCATTTATGGAACACAAGATTGTTAGTGATAGTTTGGACAAAATGTTTAATTTGACGGTATGAGAATATAGCTGTGGAATGCAGATCAAATCTTTCCCTGAGGACAGCAAAAGGAAGTAGTGCTCTAGTGACCCTATCTATAATATCTTTATAGATAAATAGATGTTTGGACTGCCATGGGGTGATCCACTGCTGTGACAAACTAGGTTGGAGGGTAGGGTTCAACAGGAACGGAGTCAGGGATGATTTTTCAGCTGCCAGATTATAAGTATATTTGGTTTTGTTCCAAAGTGTCAATTGTAGGAACATAGGTGACAGGACCTGTTTTCCCACCATCCGTGTCGGTTCAGACCATAGAAAAGCCGATGGATGTATAGGCGCCAGTCACAGGGATTCAATCTCCTACCATCTCGAGTGAGGGAGCACAACCTAGGTATGGTTCGCAGTTGAGCCGCCAAGTAATATTTAGCAATCTGCGGTAATGCCAAGCCTCCTCTAGTTACCGGGGCAAAAAAGACTTCTTTGGATATGTGATGGCGTCCTCCATCCCAAATGAACCTTAAAAGGTCAGATTGTAGGGAACTCAGGTCCAAGTTAGGGATGTTAATCAGCAGTGTCTCGAAAAAGTACAGCAGCTTAGGCAACATAGTCATTTTGATAGCCATTAATTTGCCTGTCAGGGATAGTTTAAGCGGTTTCCATTTTCGTAGGAGTATTCATAAAGAAGAAAAAATAGGTTTATAATTAGTCGGGTATAATTGGGAGAGGCAGGGGGTTAACCTTATCCGCAGGTATTTCAAGGAGTTTGCTACCCATGTATAAGAAAATAAGGACTGGAGGTTAGAGAGGTCTTGGGAGGGGGGGACATTAATGGGAAGTACCATCGTTTTAGACACATTGGGGGTGATTTACTAACCTAAAACACACGCACGCACTAGGTGCGTGTGATTTTTACACAGCAAAACGTATTTATCAACCAAAAAGTCTCTAAAAGCATATTTCCACTAATGCCATATATGGAAAAATCATGCACATGATGCATATATAATGCTGCTTCACAGTTTAGACAAAAATGGTTAGCTCATGCATTTACATTCCTGCATTCATCAACGCAAGCAACACAACATAGAGCTAATTTACACAACATCACCTTGCAAATTCATGCTTGGCTTTGCACAACACACCTGCTGGGTGTGTACACACTACAAAGGTGTTTAGATTCCACCCATAGATCATGCTGGGAGGGAACACACTACAGAGGTGTATACATGTTCGTGGTGTGTTTATAAGGTTAGTAAATCAACCCCATTAAGTTTATAACCAGAGATCCCAGAATATTTTTCTAACGCCTCATGGAGATTAGGGAGTGATATCAATGGTTGGGTCAATGTTAAAATTATATAATCCGCAAATAGTGACAGTTTAAATGATTGGTTCCGAACCGTTACCCCAGTAATGTCAGGGGACATCTAGTATGTTCGATGCCAAAGACAATATGCACAAGGTAAACAAGAGTGGTGACAAAGGGCATCCCTGCCTAGATCCGTTGCGAATGGGAAAAGATTGTGAAGTAGCGTGTTGTAATTTAATAGAGGCTGACGGCGTAGAATATAAGGCTAGTACTGCTGTAGCAAAAGGTCCTGTAATACCCAATCTTCCCAGAGTGGCAAACATAAAAGGCCAGCTCAGCCTATCAAATGCTTTTTCAGCATCCAGGCTCAGGAGGAGGGTAGCCTCCCCCGTCCGCTCAGTGATATCCACAAGATCGATTATTTGGCGCGTATTATCTCCAGCCTGTCTATTGAGAACGAATCCTACTTGGTCTTTATGTATAGTCGGGCAAGTCGGTTAGCTAATATTTTGCTATATATTTTAAAGTCAGAATTAAGCAGGGCTATGGGTCTGTAGTTGGAACAGATTTTATCGGCTTTGTCTGGTTTAGGTAGAACTACAATGTAGGAATGTAAGAAGGAGGAGGGAATGGAATCTCCCTTCAAAAAGCCATTGTACAAGGTTGTTAAATGTGGGAGAAATAGATCTAGATATGTTTTATAATACAAATATGGAAAGCCATCTGGACCTGGGGATTTTCCATTAGGTAAATACTTTATTGTGGTTGTAATTTCCTCAGATGTTATAGGGGCATTTAAGTCTAGCAATGATTCCTGTGTGAGCTTTGGTAAATTACAAGACCCAAGATATTGCGCTATTCGGGAGTGTAAAGTGTTATCCTTCACATCAAATGCAGGGCCTCCTAGATTATACAGTCCCTCATAGTATTCCTTAAAGATTGCAGCTATTTTCTCAGGATGGTGGTGCAAAACACCCCTAGTGTCCCGCACAGCTGAAATCTTTCTGTTGTCCATGTCGACCTTGAGTTTACGGGCCCAGATAGAATGGGCTTTGTCTCCCTTCTCATAGTATTTCTGCTTGAGATATAACATTGACATCTCTGTTTTCTGAATCAAAAGCTGGCGCATCTGGGCCCTAAGATTAATAAGTGTATGCAGGGTGGATTTAGCAGGTCTAAGAGCCAATTTGCTTTCCTCTTTAATTACGGACTGTTTCAGACTGATCAGACCAGGAAATAACTCCCACCTCTGCGCTTGTCATGTTCCTCACCACGGGGATATTAACAAATAAATAATCCAATCGAGTATGTGTTTCATGCACCAGAGAGAGAAAAGAGTAGCGTTTCTCCGAGGGATGTGTTAAGCGCCAGGAGTCCATAAGAGAGTATTGTCTGAGCAAGCGACAAAAGCGCTTAGATTGAGCGCAAGTATTCTTAGGAGGAGCTTTGCCAGGGAGGTTTAGGTGATCAAATGCCACCGAGTATGGTAAATTGAAATCGCCGCCCACAACGAGATAAGTGTACTCCCATTTTTTACGTTTAGAGAATATTCTCTGAAGAAAGAGAATTGGGGCGTACACATTACAAATTGTGGCGGGGATATCATTTCAAGTTCCGTTCAGTATCAGGTACCTTCCCTGTTTGTCTAAAAGAACATGACCTGGTTTGAATGAACAGGAATCCCTAAGGAGAATAACTACTCCCGCCTTTTTGTCCGGTGAGGACGCAGCATAAGCTCTGGAGTATTGGGAGAATAAGAATTTAAAAGTGTTAAGTAGGTTAAAGTGGGTTTCTTGTAGAAAAACTATGTCAGCCAAAAATTTCTCTTGGTTTGGGAGTTGAGTCCCTTAACATTCAGAGAAAGTATTTTGCATGTATTAATTGACGCCATATTGAGGTTAAGGAAGCTAGGGATAGATATTGCCGTTCAAATGTGACCACTCCAGTTACCTCTGTACAATTTAAATAGAAAAACAAACCAGTGTCTCGGCACCTTCCAGTAGGTTACACGGGCACTGGGTTGAGTCAGGATCTCGAGTCTTTCTTTCACCCCCAGTGAGACCATGGAATGAGGCTGGAACATAAGAACAAAAACAACTAATAACAAGCTAAAATAACCAAAAAAGAAATTTGTGAATACACATTCAACCAGTAAGCAAGCGAACATATTGAATTCCAAACGATGTGCAATAGGATAATAGATTTCTCCACACTCAACTAGGAAAATATTGCCAGCATCTTCCAAAGCCTTTGGAGAAAAGTTTCACTTAAAGACTACCCACGGTAATAAGTTCTGCAGAAGGGAGAAGTGGAGGGGGTAATACGGTGGCGGATCAACGAACCAACTTCAAGAGCCGTCTCACTGACCCGCTATAGTAATGTAAAATGGGGTTATTGAGTTAGCAGCCCTGGATTGGTGAAACAGCCAGGATTCACAAAAAAGTAGCAAGGAATACCGGATTGTCACAAAAGCCCATGTTGTGTAAATAATCCTCTGGGAGCATTCTAAGATAGAAATATACGTAGCTGTAAAAGCAAATAACATACACATCACAGCTTATACTATATCATTAGCTTTGACATCTTGGAGTAGACATGGGCGGTCCTCTAGGTTTACGTAGGGGAGTTTCGAATGGGGCATCTAGCCTCACAGCTTTTTTTCCAGGTGTGGATCTATGCCAGGTTGTTGGCTCAGGACCAAGTTTGGGCAAGGGGTCCCATCCGGACAGGGTAGGACAAGTGATGCGGAGATCCGAGCAGAATGAAGACAAATCTTCTGGCACCCTGAGGGTAGCACTTTTTCAATCCCTGCGGGCCGTAAGGCTAAAAGGGAAGCCCCAGCGATATGGTATGTCATTGTCTCTCAATAGGGTCAACAATGGTTGTAAGCATCTCCTTTGCTGCAACGTGACCCAAGAAAGGTCAGGGTATAGTTGTAGGGGAGCTCCATCAAACTCCAAAGATCTCATGTTACCAGCTTTCTGCAGAATCTCTTCCTTCCCTCGAAAATAATGAATTCTACAGATGACATCCCTCGGATTGGTAGAAGATCCTCTAGGTCAAAGGGCCCTGTGAGCTTGATCAATAATTATTTTGTTAGTAGAGGGGGCGCCTAGAATGTTATTAAAGAGCGTTTGCAAGACATCCTGTAGATCCTCAGGGCCAGTGGCTTCCGGCAAGCCCTTGAGGCAAAGATTATTCTGTCTTCCACAGTTGTCAAGGTCTTCCACATGTCTCTGCAGGTCCCGGATGGTATTAGCCTGCATTACATAATGGGATTGGAGTTGATACAGGTCCAATTTATTGTGTTGCACTTCTCCCTCTATGTCCTCCACTCTTTGGGTCAAATGCTTAAAGTCATTATGGAGCAACTGTATTTCAGATTTGCAGGTATCTCTAACTTCTTGCACCAGCAACCTAAAGTCTCTCTTAGTCGGTATATGTTTCATGCATTCACGCCATGAAGTGTAATCATCCTCCTCTGCATCCAAGGAGGAAAGTAAATTAGAGGACTGCACAGACTTACGTTTCTCTGAAGGTTGCATAGGAGTAGGCATGTCAGTAGCATTTGTGGTATCTTGGGGTCTAGATTGAGGCCTGATGGCGAGTATGTCCTGGATCTGGGGGTGCGTTGCAGCCTAAATAGCTGTTCCGGAGGCATATCCCATGAACTGGCCTCTTCTCCGGGCCTCGGGGGGTCAGCTGCATCACCATCCCCATGGAGCAGAGGCACAGGTGTAGGCGAGGGGGACTTCCGATGGCCTAGGGTTGAGTTGAGGCCCTCTTCCACTGCCCGCTGTGTACCGGAAGGGGACCACTCCGGGACGGCCTCATGTACAGGCCATTCAGACACCTCTCCTGCTGGCTTCGCAGCGATCGTCTGGAACATCATAGGAGGCGTCAGTGCTTCACCCACATCCATTGCCGGCGCCGCTCCTATAGAGCAAGATGATGGGGAGTCCGATAGAGATTCTCCCGGTCTTGAGGATGGCGAGGATGGTGAGTAAGATGTCGCAGGCCTGGTGTCACTGTTCGCGCCCGGCGCCATCTTGCTGCGGGGAGCACCACCCGTCCGATCCGAGTGGTCAAAGTATCCCCTGATGGACGAGGAGGTTTGGGACCTCTTAGTAGATATAGAGGGGGTCTTTGCAGACTTCTTGGACTTTTTCTCCCTCATGGTAGAGCCGAGTAAGGGCTGCTAAACTCTTTAATTCAGCGGGTATAGACTGAGCTCAGGGAGGACATGTCTTCTCACATCTCTTGGTAGCCACGCCCCCTGGCAGTGTCCTTAATGGATTCAGTGATTGTTCCCCCTTATCCAAAAAATTTTGGCAGCTGTATCCATTTGGCAAAAAGTTCTTGCTATGAGCTCGGTGCACTCTAGAGTTTCAATGCCTCTCCCTTTAGCTGTATATCCAAACCATATCCCTAATTTGGATATCGGTGCCTGGCTAATCAAAGGTTTTACTGAACCTCCCTTGTCCTTGATATCCAATCTTTTCAAATACCTTAAAGCTGCTGTCACTGCCGTTGCCGGTCCCAAGATCCGCTGTGCCCGATGCGGCCGGGAACGGCACGGCTCTGTGACAGGAGATCAAAGGGAGTTCAGTATACAAACTCCCTTTGATCTTCTGTCAGTCCCTGAATGCAGGAAGTGATGTAGATTAGATTCTCCACTCCAGCTACAGCTCACTCTCCAGCTACAGAAGCTGATGAAGCCGATCTCTGCTTCATCAGCTTCTCTGGGGGTCCCTAGGTGACATTAGGGGTCTTGGAGACCCCCTGATGTCTCCATAAAGAGGACCTGCCATGTAAATTGGCTATTATGTAGGGGGCTTCTTAGACCCCTATGTAATAGCAATAAAGCTGTGTGTAAAAAAAAAAAAGTAATACTAAAATTAAAGAATCATTAAAAAAATAAAGCATAAAAAATTCAAAAAGAAAAAAAAGTATTATCTATCCAATGCTGCTGTAGCTGTCCTTGCGGATCCGAGTTAGACACTGACCCAGAGTAGGAGTACCGTAAGTGCCACGGAATGGGCCGCAACAAGGGACCGAAGATATCGAAAAGACCAAAAGCACCAAAGACGGTCGGAGCCTTCTGTCCGCCGCAAACGCCTAATACAGGCATTAGATCTTACTTCAGGTCCCTGGATTCGACTCCGGAACGCACAAAGATGACGTCAGACGCCGCGAGTGTCTCTGCGTCTGGCGGATCCTCCGGCGAGAGAGACCGAGATGCCGGACCCTCTCGTGCAACTAGGTCGACAGCTTATTCGGCGGAATCCTCAACTGGGTTTACAGTCAGTGCTAATACAGAGGTATGCGATCTGCTCCCTCGTTCCCCTGGTGTCTCTCTCAATACACTCCCCCTGTGGCAATCTTCCATTAGTGAAGAACGGGCTGGGAACTCATCTGCTTCCTCTTCTGATAGACAATCTTTACCAACATTGCATACGGCAGATATGGAATCTCCCCCTTTCTCTGCTCCTGCCTCTGCTGCCATAGATGCCGCCATAGACAGTGTTCAGGATGTTTTAGGGGGGGTATCTATGATACAAATAGCCCCTCTAAAGCAAGGAAACCAGGAATTGAAGAGCCACAGTAACCAAGACACTGGCCCAGAAACTGAGGGGAATTATGTAAGAGGTATCCCTATTGTTTTTCCTACACTAGCAGGAACACTACAGGACCCTGGGATGCCCCAGGCTTGAGCTGTCTCTAGCAAACAGTGGTTTGAAGTGGGCATTGATGGAGAAAGAGCACCATTACACTTAAGTGAGACCAGGAGATCTATAACTAATGCTGGAATATCTCAAATCGGTACCCATTGTCAAGAACTGAGACCTCCGTTAGTACCTACTGAAATTGATAATGAGGAACCAATGACTTGGAGGGACTTTATTAAGTTTATTCCGAACAAAATGGACTTTTGTGCCCTGATCCAAGAAGTTAAAGATACCTGTCGATCTGAAATAATGGTTCTTCGTGAAGATTTTAAGCATCTTGCTAACCAAGTCGAGATGGTTGAAACTGACACTCAAGCGACAAGACAAGATTTAGATTCACTATATATTCAAGTGCTTGCTCAGAGCTCCACTATAAGAGATATGCAACGTCAAATGGAAGATTTAGACAACAGGGGCCGTAGAAATAATATCAGGATAAAGGGGCTCCCAGAAGTTACTGGACTGGAAAATTTACACGAGACCCTACAGACCATATTCAATATTATACTGGGCAAACCTCCCACGCATATAGTGGAAATCGACCGAGCCCATAGAGCATTTCGCCCTCGTGGAGCGCCTACAAAACCTAGGGATGTGGTTTGTAGGATTCATTCCTATGCTCTTAAAGAGGAAATTATGCAGTTAACACGCAGATCGCGAAATTTGGAGTTCAAGGGGTCACAGATCCAATTGTTCCAAGATCTTTCTTGGATAACCCTACAACAACGCAGACTTTTACAACCTTTGCTTACTTTACTACGAGAAGCCAATATCCCATATCGATGGGGCTTTCCTTTCAGCCTCACAGCTAGACGAGAAGGTAGATCGGCAACACTGAAAGTCCCTGAAGATCTCGAGGCTTTTTGCAGAGACCTGGGTATTCATTGTCCTAAATTGACCAGTTGGGACCCTTTGCCCACCGCCCCTTTGCAATCGCCTCAGTGGCAAGGGGTTTCCAAGAAAAAGCAATATGGTCCCAAGAGAGACACCCACGACCATGCCCTACATCGGGCTCGATAAGAGGTCAAAAACGACCATACTTGATCTATCAGTGTAACCACTTATTGATTATTGGGCATTATATGTAATATGTACTCATTCTTATGTATTAGATACTAGGATAGATTAATAGCTTTAGCTGTAGAGAACGCAGCATAACTTGGGTTAATTAATTAAATTCACTGAAGATTATTTAACCTTTTTCTCTCCCCCCTTTTTTCTTTCTTTTTCGGATTCTACCATACCCTGCCTACTTCTCTAGGAGACTAACCCCCCTTTTTAAGGGAATTGAAATAGGACTGTATTATAAACAGTTAGAAATAGGGAGAGTTGCCCTTTAGCTCACTTCCTTAGTCACTACCCCCCCTGATTAGTTTAGTTTTAACTTAGCTGAATTAGTATATTAGTTTAGCTTTACCACTGCTTGTATACCCTAGGAGAAATATATAGGATGCTTAGGGCAGTGTCGGACTCTTTGGACTCAGACAATAGCAGTTTCAGATACAATATTTTGTTTATGTCAAGGATACATATTTTCTTGTGCCTACCTATTTATTTTCTTTTTCTTTCTTTCCTTCCCCCTTCTACCCCTTTTAATGTCATCTGTAATAAATTTTTTGTTTTTGTTTGTTTATACCTTGAAGAAACTCTCTCACGGGAAATTCGGCTTTTGGCCCTACATAAGTGGTTATGTAGAGGATGCGACCTCGGAGACCTTTTTACTTTTTGGGACGTTATCCAGGTGGTAAGGTTGTTATATATTTTGTACTGATGAACCTATATACAGTAAATTTGTCTTTTTTCATACTCCAATGGCCCTGCCCAGTAATTATGACATAGTCTCCTTTAATGTAAAGGGACTAAATTCCAATCGTAAGAGGGGATTACTCTCTAGAGAGCTTAAACGCTTAGACCCGGACGTAGTATTCCTTCAAGAAACTCACTTTTGTTCTCAGAGTTCACTTAACTTTTTAAGAACCCGCTTCCCGACTTATTATTCAGCTAATTCTACCTTAGGAAAACGGGCTGGGGTGGCAACTCTTTTTAAACTAGGGTGTCCATTTAAACCATCAGAAGTTATCACTCACCCGGGGGGTAGGTACATTATAATAAATGGTACATGGGGACAAGACCAGGTTATACTATGCAATCTATATACACCAAACACTAGACAAATACCGTTTTTGAGAACCATTTTTTCAAAATTGTCTTCCATACCTCATAAATATTTGATCATTGGGGGTGACTTTAATGTCCTCCTGTCCCCAACTCTTGATAGACTGGGGATTGCTGGAAACCCCACACCCGGGGGAGCAGTAAGATTAGCCCATCAATTCCAATCAATGCTTAAAAGATATACTTTGTTTGATGCTTGGAGAACTCAGAATCCAACAGATAGACAATTCACTTTTTATTCCAATGCCCATGAAACTTACACTAGAATAGATCGTTTTTTAGTTAATAAAGCATTACGTACCACTGTCTCCTTTCAGACAAGCGGGAGACAATACAAGGCGTACGATAGACCTTATAGAAATTCTAAATCTTTCAGATACGGCATCTGTGATTTTGACACTTGATGCTGAAAAGGCATTCCTATTCTCCACTTTAGAATACATAGGATTACAGGGACCCTTCCTGGACGCCATAACGAACCACTATTCCACCCCTTCTGCAGCTATCAAACTCCCTTTTTCATTATCTTCTTTCTTCCCTATACGTAATGGTACCCGACAGGGTTGCCCTCTATCCCCTTTGTTTATTTACCCTCTGTATTGATCCATTAGCAAGTCACATTAGGAACTCCACAGACATTTCTGGCGTACAGGTTAAAGGACGTGCTTTCAAACTTTCACTTTTTGCAGATTATATTTTACTGACCTTGACTAAACCGTTCATTTCACTACCAAATTTACATAGGGAACTGACTAGTTATTCTTCCATATCAGGGTACAAACTCAATTTAACTAAATCAGAAGCAATGCCAATCCACATTCCCCAGGAAGTACTGTTATCTCTTCAGTCTTCCTTTGAATACAATTGGAAATTAGATAAACTAAAATACTTGGGTATTTATCTTACCCCTCAGATGACTTCCCTATATAAAACCAATTATGTTCCTTTATACCGGGAAATTAGAGATCTTCTGAGATGGAGATCACACCGCTTATCCTGGATTGGTAAAATGACATCAAATAAAATGACGATCATGCCAAAACTGCTTTACCATTTCGGGACATTACCTATTAAAATCCCGATAAAGGACCTTAATATAATGCAACGTTTATTGCTACAATTTACATGGGATAATGCTGCTCAAAGGGTCGCCAGGACAGTGTTAATGGCTTCTAGATCGCAGGGCGGATTGGCGTTTACGGATATACACAAATATTATTTAGCTGTTCATCTACGCCACTTGGCTTCCTGGTCATCTCTAAATCCGCCCAGTAGATGGGCAGAAATAGAAAGTCTCTGGATTTCACCACTACATTTAAATTCCCTTCTATGGCCTGATCTCCAGTCTTCACATGTTCCCCCACTTCTATCTACCATGCAACATACTAAAGATATCTGGCACTCTGTAGGCTTTACATTTAACCTTACTTCAACTACTACACCAATGAGATCTTTTTTTATATACCCCCCTCCTCCCGGCTACACTCAACCGATATATTGCCTGCCCTTGGTCAGACCAATCTCTTCTACGCTTTAAAGACATAATTGATAAAGTAGACAGGACCCTACTGCCATTTCTGATCTTACAAACTCAGTTTAATTTACCAAATAAATCTCTTTTTACATTTCTTCAGATCAAACATTTTGCATACACAGTTTCCTCTTCACTTAGTTTTTCACCACTAACACCATTTGAAAAACTGTGCTTAGAAGGCCCCACTCGTAAACACTTGACAACAGACATTTATAAATTACTTAACTTTATTTGTGTTGTTCCTTTTCCGAAGCATAACTATATGTGTAGATGGGAGAGGGCTCTAGGCCGGACACTGGACATGGAGGAATGGGAGGACATCTGGACTAACGCTAGTAAGACCTCAATCTGTACTTTATACCAGGAAAATCTGTACAAAATTATATACCATTGGTACCACACCCCAGATTTGTTACATCATATGAATCGTTTGCCATCACCAGCATGTTGGCGATGTATGACATTAAAGGGCACCTTACTCCACATATTTTGGGAATGCCCCAAGATACGTCCTTTCTGGAAGTCTATAATGATTATGCTCCAAAGATTAATAGATAAGACTATACCAGACGACCCTGTATATTTACTCTTAGGCCTTCCTATTCCACATTTTTTGAAATTCACCACCAAATTCACCAACCATGTCCTCACTGCAGCAAGATGCCTTATAGCCTTAAAATGGCGACAATCTACACCTCCGTCTTATGAAGAATTACTGTGAAGGATTCATGATGTCCATAATTTGGAATATCTAACGGCTCGATTGCATAATACTATTCCCGAATTTGATAAGGTGTGGTCCCCCTGGCAAATACTCGAGAGAACCAGGAGCGGTGCCACACTTCCTGATGTTCTTCATTTCCCGTGAGCATGAGCACGAATATGAGTACAAGATAAGATTTCCCTCTTTTCCCTTTTTTTTCCCCCCTTTTCCTTTGGATTATATTATTATTTAATTATATTATTTTATTTTGTTCCGTTTTATATCCCTGTATCTATGTTAAAACCTAAATAAAAACAAATTTAAACAAAAAGAAACCCGGCCCCTACATACACACGCAGATAGGAGACAGGTGCGCCTACGTGCGAAAACGAAGATTGCGCCTATTGTGCCGCACATGTTAAATATTGCCGCAGTGAGAGCAATAATTTTAGAGCCATTAATCACTGATAATACTAAAATGATGAGCAGTAAAAGCGTTTTAATCATCGCCTATGGGCGTTTTTTTGCAATTGTGCAGGCGCACGCAATTTTAAGGCTTGACATGTTTGGTGTCTATTTACACGACGTGACACTGAATTTTATGTTTTACTAAAAATATGGGTAAGAATAAATGTTTTACAACATAATGTAGGGCAACTGTTTTTTTTTAAATTTATCATTTATGGTACTTTTTTCATTATATAGTAAAAAAAATAACACCCCCCCCCCAGTGGTGATTATATACCTCCAAAAGAAAGCTCTCTCTCCGTTGTCGGCGCCGCTTCTATAGAGCAAGACGACGGGAAGCCCGATGGAGATTCTCCCGGTCTCGAGTCTGGCAAGTAAGACGTCGCGGGCCTGGTGTCACTGTTTGCGCCCGGCGCCATCTTGCTGCGGGGAGCACCACCCGTCCGATCCGAGTGGTCAAAGTAGCATATATTATATATATATATGCACTTTCATGATGCTAACTTGACCTATAAATCTGTTTCTATTCTCAATAGGGAGACTGACCTTAAACGGTCTGTGCTGCCACAGCCAGTGTCATTTTGAAAAATTAGTTTTGCTGTTTCAGTTACACTGCATACATATTACATTGTATTTCATTGTGTTATGGTGTATTTATAGCTACTAGTGATAGATTGGCATTGTTCCAGCCTAATCTGTGTATACTTGATATATCCCATTCACCCCTGCTCTTTTCTGTACATTGGTACAGTCTTCCGCTAAAATCCTCCAGTCATTCCTTGCTTCTCCCTCTTTATGCATCATCCCTCGCAGAGGTAAGAAGGTCTCTGTTTAACCTGTTAATGGCAAAGATGGGAATGTCTTTTCACTTTAATGACAAGGAATTACATCCTCTGTATTGAGAAGGCAAATACACTACATTGGATTCTACTCTGAGTGTTATCGAGTTTAACACTATCTGTGAATACCACCAAGTCAGTAGGTTGTCATACTATCTGTACAGATGAGTCTCAGGAAAGTACAGTATGCGCAAATACATAAAGTGGTGGTTGTAACAATAGTGAAAAGACAGAATTACTAAGCCTATAACAGTGTGCAATGAGCAAGTTTTCTCCTGTGTTTAAGGGAGCACATGTCACAGAAATCACTTGTTGCAGAATTACCTGAGGATCAATTACAGTCTGCTGTATTCTCACTCACTGAGAAGCAAGCCTGCTTATAGCCTGGGGAGCTGCGTATATACAATTTGTGTGCTGAACTATACGCTACAATTCACAAGCTGGTTTTATGTATAACGACACTGCTGAATACACAATGTCAAAGTCTGTATATTCATTGCAGTTAGACACAGACCCATCTTCTCTTCCCCAAGATAATGCTGATTCTCAACATGAAGACATATCTACTAGACCCAAACGTACAATTAAACCTTCTTTGAAGCTTTTAGAGCATTATGAAGCAAACAAAGCAGAAATGTCTGATACTCTGTCTGATATGTGGAATAATACTGTACAATGCATACATGCCGCTGATGAAACACATGACCGAGCAATCGAATTGCATGCTTGAAAAGCTAAAGAGAGTTAATGAAAGCTATGAGGTATTCTGAATAGTATTACACTCTATCAAGCATTAACACAGAGGAGTCTGTGCAAGAGCTAGATCACTTCACTGCTCTCAACAAGGAAAGGCACACCACCTTTCTAGAAGCCAGGATGACAAAATATTGCAATTGCACAAAACTGCATCTGTCCGCACTACATCCTCCAAATATACTAAATGACCATCCCGCTCAAATCATTCTACACTTAGCGCATGTCTGACAAGGGCTCGTGCAGAGGCAGCAAGAGCAGAGGCTTGCTGTGTGAAAAAAGGAAGCAGCTATTAAAAAGGTACATCACCAAGGTACAAGCAATGCAAGCTAAAGCACAAGCAGAATTAAAGGCAATGCAGACCAAGGCTGAAGCAAAGCTACAAGTCCTTCGGAAGGAAATGGAGGAAGGGGCAACTGTGGCTAAGCAGAGTTTATGAACAAGCTGTTGCTGAGAGTGAACTAAATGATGTCAGCTT